CTTTTTTCATCCTTCTAATCAGTGGAATCTATTTCACAGCAACATTTTTTTTTTCTTAAGACAGGGTTTTGCTCTGTCACTCAGCCTGGAGTGCAGTGGTGCAATCATAGCTCACTGCAACTTTTGAACTTTTGGCCTCAGGCTAGCCTCCCCTCAGCCTCTTGAAGGAGCCAGGACTACAGGTGTGCACCACCGTGCCTGGCTCATTTTCAAAATACTCTTGTAGAGATAGGTTCTTGCCATGTTGCTCAGGCTGGACTCCTGGCCTCAAGTAATTACTCCACTTCTGTGTGACCTTTGTTTTCAGTTGCAGTCTCAAGGTATGAAAATGAACACAGTAGGTTGAAACAGCAGTTTTCAGTTTCCTACTATAATATAATGCAGGTCTTTGTGTTTAGCTATTCAGTGTAGGGTTTCTTGTTTGGCTCTGTAAAGAGCACTAAGTCACTTGTCAGCAATATACCGAATGTTCCCACTACTTGATTTCATTTAATGTCCAGAGTTCGGGAATGGTAGTTACAGTTTTTCAGAAATGATAGACTTGGAACCCAGGAAATTATAATTTTTTTTTTCCCAGTGTAAAACTAATTAATAAGAGCTGAAGTGGGAATTCAGGTTTGAACTTTTCATTCCAACCAAATTCAGTATATACATAGCTACATTTTTAAGGTGTGCTATTAAAAGATGAAATTACTTTTTAGGAGTTGGTGGGTTATGGAACTCTGTCACAAACAAGATATATTTTAAAAACTTAGAGAACTGGTATGGAAATACATCCAGTTTGTAAAGATTATAGTTATGATGGTAAAATGATTTACTTTTTCATCGTTGTTTTAAAGTGAATTTTATTTTATGTATTTTTCTGTGATGGAGTCTTACTCTTTTGCCCAGGCTGGAGTGAAATGGCATGATCTTAGCTCACTGGAACCTCTTTCCCCTGGGTTCAAGTGATTCTTTCACCTCAGCTTCCCGAGTAGCTGGGATTACAAGGCGCGCACCACTACGTCTGGTGAACTTAATGTAGTTTTAGTAGAGATGGGGTATCACTATGTTGGCCAGGCTGGTCTTGAACTCCTGACCTCAGGTGATCTGCCCTTCTCTGCCTCCCAAAGTGCTGGGATTATGAGCATGAGCCACCAATAAAGGCCAACTTTTTCTTTTTTCTTTTTCTTTCTGTATTTTTTTTTAAGCAGTTTTCATAGCTGAAGGCCAACTTTTTCTTAAACAACCAGGACTTTTTCTTAAAAGGGATAGGACTCATAGGATCAACTGTTCAGCTTCTGCCCTGGTAGCTTGAAAGCAGAGACAGTCTATAATTGACTAGGTTTAACTATATTTCAGTAAAACTATTTCCCAAAACAGGCTGGCCTGTGGGATATAGTTTGCTAACCGCTGGTGTCAAGGGTTGCTGATACCAAAAAGTTGGAGAACTACTGGTGGGGAATGTGGAAGGTGGGAATGGACCACAAGAAATAGTCAACAAGAAATTTTCAAATGGTAAAGAGATAATATGAAGACCATAAGAAGGGTGGTCTGATCGTTAAAGTTTATAATCAGGAAGGGACTTCAAATAAAAAGTTAATGTTTGTTAACTCTTACTTAACTAGGTTTCATCTCCTTTTTTGATTGATGATTCCTCTGGTGTTGGTAGGGAAAAAAAAGCAAAAGATAATCTAAAATTTTGTTATTTTTTGAAATCTTATTACACTTAAATTCAGAAAGGTTAGCATTTTTTAAAATTAGAAAATATCCCAAGCCTATCTGCTTTAACAGGATCTAGGAAATGATCACGTAAAGCGTAGGTTAGAGGCTGGGCACGGTGGCTCACTCCTGTAATCCCAGCACTTTGGAAGGCCAAGGTGGGTGGATCATCATATCAGGAGTTCGAGACCAGCTTGACTAACATGGTGAAACCCTGTCTCTACTAAAAATACAAAAATTAGCCTGGCATGGTGGCTTGTGTCTGTAATCCCAGCTACTTGGGAGGCTGAGGCAGGAGAATCATTGGGTGTCCTAGATTAGAGCTGCCCAAGGCTGATAAAAAGAACATTGATCAAAGTTATATCATATCTAGCAAGTTAATTCTCTGTATGTCTTTTTTGTTTGTTTGTTTTGAAAATGGGAGGATTGTGTAAGATCTTTTCCAAGTCTGAAATTTCTGATATGTTTGTATGCTCTGCTTAGGATACCTTTTGCCACTCCCTACCCCTTCTAAGTCTTCCCAGATAGCCCTAACTTCCATCTCTTAATAGTTTTATGATCTGAAATGTTTAACTTTGAACTCTGTTTTCTTTTCCTTTTTTTTTTTTTTCTGAGATTTTGTTTTACTCTTGTTGCCTAGTCTGGAGTGCAGTGGCATGATCCTGGCTCACTGCAACCTTGAACCTTCCCACATTCAAGCAATTCTTGTGCCTCAGCCTCCTGAGTAGCGGGTATTACAGGTACAACTACACTTGGCTAATTTTTGTATTTTTAGTAGAGACAGGTTTTTACCATGTTGACCAGACTGGTCTCAAACTCCTGACCTCAAGTGATCTGCCAGCCTTGGCCTTCCAAAGTGTTGGTATTACAGGCGTGAGCCACCGTGCCCAGCCTTGAAATCTATTTTCTCAAGTAAGATGGGGATAAAGATCTTAACTTTGATCATTGGAAAGGTTAAATGAGAACATATGTAAACCATTGAGGACTATACTTGTCACTTAGTAGGTGCTTAATAAGTGTTTTGGGGTAGTTGTTCATTAGTGAGAATAAAGGGAAGTCTCCACTTTGCCTCTGTATTTAGCTTGCTGACTCTGGAACCCACTGAGACTAGCAGCAAGCGCAAAACCGACAACCAACAATCAAGGTCCAAGGAGAGATGTGAAAATTTAGCCTGAAAACTTCTATAGAAGGGTTAAGGAGTTCGAAAAGTAATGTAATCAGAATTTATGTGGGGCTTCCTACTTAAGGGAAAGGCAAGGAAGCAGCCATTCTATCAGTCTCTGTTTCTTGCTGGAGATTGAGGGTAACTATATATATATTTTGGAAAATGCTTTAGCATATCAGAAGGCTATCTGCAAAGGATTGAGAATGAAAATGGCATTAGGTTTTTCATTGACATTACTGAATAGCGGAAGACGTGGTCATACGTAGTTCTTAGGGAAAAGGGTTGTGACCAGGATTCTAACCTGCGGAATTTATGCAGGAGCTTCAGACTACTAAAATGGAGATGGAGAGTTAATCACTTATGTAATCGTTTCAAAAATTTTCTTTGAAGTATTGTGATTACACCACAAAATTAAGGATTCAAGGATAGTTAGGTTTGATTGATTGCTTTGACAAAGTTAGGAGTTTAGTATAATCTTGAATATACCTGATGGGAAAGCAAAACTTTTACTATTGTCATGTTGAAGGGCTTGCACTGTTTTGGGGGATCTTAGACTTTATTTTTTCTTTTCCAGACGGGCTCACTCTTGCACAGACATAGCTTGCAGCCTTTACCTCCCAGGCTCTGATGAGGCTCCCATCTCAGCCTTCCAAATAGCTGGCTCTACAGGGCGTGCCACCACACCCAGCTAATTTTTTGCATTTTTTTTTTGTAGAGAAGAGGTCTCAGTATATTGCCTAGGCTGGTCTCAAACTCCCGGGCTAAAGTGATCCTCCCACCTCAGCCTCCCAAAGTGCTGGGATTACACGTGTGAGCCACCATACCCCATGCATATGCTAATTTTTAGTTTGGGTGGAAGCCTCAAAATAAAGTGATTTAGCAAGTGTTGTATTTTGCTTTGAACACATTTGAATCAGGATTTGCCTTTCCTCTGTGTCATCTTCTGTTGACAGCAGCTTTCCTGGGTTTCCTTCAACTCTAATACAGTCTTTCTAGAAATATTAGTATAACTTTTCTTCTGTAGTTGCAAAGTTTTCAGAATTATCTTCAGGAAAAATGGAGCTTTTAGGAAAAACAAAATAAAAAAAAATTTATTGCTTTGCTACAGTTCTAGAAACTAGATTGTTTACTTTATTGTCCTCATTATAACAATGTTTGATTTTTTTAACTTTTGGCATTTTAGGCTGTTGAATTTTTAAGAGACTTGCCTTAATTTTGTCATTGTGTAAGAAGCAAGTAAATCTTAATGGAAGCAGTGTTTAATTAACATTTTAACTTAAAACGTTCTCTTCATAATACCTGCCACAATGTTGAATGAATTTGGAAAGCACCCTTTTAACCAAAAGGCATTCTGGGAACAAGAAAAGTCTTAAGTGTTTTGAATGGAGGAGTTATTTCTAATGCAAAGAGCATATTTGTAATCTTGATACCTATAATTTTATTTTTTAATACTTTGTTTTTAGAATAATTTTTGTGTTACTAAAGGTGGGTAGTGATAATTGCATCCTATCCTTTGTTGTTGTTGTTGTTGTTACTGTTGTTTTGAGACTGAGTCTTGCTCTGTCACCAGACTGGAGTGCAGTGGCGTGATTTTGACTCACTTTAACCTCCGTCTCCTGGGTTAAAGTGAGTCTTCCACCTCAGCCTCCTGAGTAGCTGGGATTACGGATGCACGCCACCACACCCAGCTAATTTTTGTATTTTTGTAGAGACAGGGTTTCACCATATTGGCCAGGCTGGTCTTGAACTCCTGACCTCAGGTGATCTGCCTGACCCGGCCTCCCAAATTGCTGGGATTACAGGCGTGAGCCATGGTGCCCAGCCCTTTTTTGTTTTTGTTTTTTTGTTTATTAAATTAAGAATAAAAATGTTTTACTTTTTGCTCATTTTGACTGTTTTCACAGTCGTTAATCAGACTAATCTTTATATAAAGCAGTTTATTGTCCCCTTTGGAGAAAATATAGCTAAAAATCACCAGTGTCCTAATATAGATAACTATTTCGTTGATCTGATGTAGTCCTCTTGATTTTTCACGCCATTCCTCCCCTCTATGTTCTGTTTGTAATTTTGTTTACAGTATATTATGACTTTTTTTCATATCTGACTATATTTCTCCATTTTAAACTTTTATAATTTATAAAAGGAAACAAAGATTGCCACATGGAATTGAGAATAAAAATTTATCTTTCTACTATAAGTATGCTAAAGTGGTAAAGCAATGGCTGAATGCTCAGAAATTACTAAGACAGCTTTAAAGGTTGATTCTAAAATGTTTTGATTTAGATTGACATCTACTTAAACTGTATACCAAACTGGGCTTGAGATGTAGGCTTTAGAAAGTGTAGGTAATAGTGCATTTTTATTGTTTCGGATTTTTGCCAATTTTGGATTCTGTGGGCTTGTCTTAAGGTACTTCCGTGAACTTTTCAAGTCTTTGTAAAACTAGTGTAAAAAAATTAAATGGTGATTTTGCCTAGTTGAGAATTTTACCTAGTTGAAAATTAAGGTTTATTGTGGTAAAAATTAAATGGTGGTTGATTCTTGGCAGGTATGTTTGATCACCTTTGGAAGCTTAAGGCATCTTTTGGAGTGTGTGTCCTGGAATCTACAAATTCTAGGTCTCTTGACTAATCGATGTCTTTGAGGCAATTAACTTAAATCTTAACTGAAAATTTAAATATTCTGGAATATACCACCCATGATACACATAAATTACCCACCTCAATCTAGACAAAAGCCACATAAGGCTGGAAACAGTCCAGTTTTACAGCTGAACAAGTGGTGGAGCCTGGGTTTGAATCCAAGTGTAGATGACTGTAGAATGCTTTTGTTTTTCTGACTTAATTAAGTGGAGGGGCCTGTCCATAGATCAGTGGTTTTCAGACTGTGCTGCAAGGCTTTGTACACATCTTTTGGAGTTTGGCTAACAGTGAAATATCTTTTGCTTGAGAAATAGTCATCTTTTTGTTGTATACATTTTGGTTATTTTGTGATTCTGCTTGGAAGAGTTTCTCCATCTAAAATATTTGAAGTTTTCTGCTCTAGGGAAACTTAAGATCTGTTGAATGAATAAATGTTAGAAAATAAAAATACAGACTGGGCATAGTGGCTCACGCCTGTAGGCCAGCACTTTGGAAGGCATGACAGGTGGATAGTGTCAGGCCAGGAGTTTGAGACCAGCCTGGGCAACATGGGGAATCCCTGTCTTTACCAAAAATATAAAGAAAATTAGCCGAAGACGGTGGTGCCTAGTGATTGGGGAGATTCAGGTGGGAGGGGATTGCTTGAGCCCAAAAGACCGAGGCTGCAGTGAGTGGAGATTGTGCCACTGCACTCAGACCTGGGCAAGAGTGAGACCCTGTCTCAAAAACAACAACAACAAAACAAAAAACTTGTCTGTGGGGTAGACTGTATTTATTTTCAATCATATTTCTTTTCCTAATACTCTTTTGTGTAGCCTATATTGTAAAATGAGGTTGAGGTGATTGAACACACTGTTAATAGAGTGAGGAAGTGGTTAGAGTTAAAATTTCTTGCTGAAAGTGGGTAATCTGCAATTCCCTACATTGGGTTGATTCCTCTCTGCCAGCTCTTGCTGCATTTAGAGGCTGCCCTAAGCATGATGTAATGACAGGTTAAACCTCTGCACGCACTAGCTGATGCAATGCAAATCTGAGGCCCAGGACTTTATTGGGGCAAGGGTAATGCTTGTTTAAAAACAAAACAAGCTACTCTGCGTTTAATGAGGCCATTTAAGATGGCTTTCCCAGAGTGGGAAGAGAGTATACTCTCTTAGGAGGTTTAAGTAGGAGTTTAATGTGGCAGAAGTATGCTTACTACTTTTCCTGCAAAGTGTTTTCGCAGCGGGGAAGGGGAATTTAAAATACATTACCGATAGGAGAAGTGAAGTGAGCTAGAATTGAGGAAATTAGTAGTTGATGCCAGTAAATAGCTGTTGAATGAATTAGGGAGAATGTTTTCACTCCAAAATTTTAGAGTTCGGATAAACGTAGAGCGGAGCGCCAGTGTGGCCACGCATTTCAAGATACGCTGTAGCTCTTAGATTGAAACCGTAAGAAACTCCTGATATGAGACTGTTCTGACACACCGAAAACGGCATGGTTCCACCTAACTTTAAACTGGTGGAAATGCTGAGGAAGGCTCGATGTCGCTGGGGTGCGGTGGTATGCGGTCCATGGCGGGGTGGGGTCCATGGCGGGGTGGCACGGGGTCAGAGCTGCGGGGTCCCGCGGCCCCGCCCTGGGTTGTGGGGCGGGGCTTGCGGGCACGGCCCCACCTCTGCGCGAGCGAGACGGGCACCGCCCTGCACGCTGCGCGCCCTGGACTGGCCCTTGGCTCTCCTGGTTGGAGCGGGCGTTCCCGGCGCAGGCCCATCCCCAGCTGGCCGAGGCTCCAAATGGCTCTCCCGGCAGGCGGGCTCCTGCAGTAGCCCCTGAGCTGGCTCAGGGAGCGTACTTCCTTCTCAGCCAGCGGGTCACCCCTCCACCAGAGCCGAGCAGGAGCCTACCCAGTGAATCTGGAGAAGACAAACTTGGGAGACAGACGAAGGCTTAGGGCATGGTGGAGGACAGCGCAGCTGTGGCTCCCATTTTCGGAGATGCAGCCGAATTTGAGCTCACGGGGAGGTGTGGTTGCCTCCTGGGGATGGAAAGGCTTTCTTTCTCCACCTCTGTAACTGGTGCTTCTGAGAAGTGAAACGATATTTGGATCCTGACCTCAGACGCCAATTTGGGTCTTTTGTGTTTAGGAGCAGAAAGTGCCCAGGAGGGTCCTGTACCTTTACTTCTTGGAAAAGGCAGTGAGCTGCCTGAGTTCTCATGACGGGAAAGCCTATTCCACCTTCTCTTTACTCCTGGAGGGGAGTCTTGTTCACATGTTTACCGGCGACTAGGACAAGGAAGAGAAAAGGTATTGACATTAACAGGATGGGTTGCTGAGGCTGTGAAACTTGAACGCTGTTAGTCAGTGGAACCTGCCTGGCTTACGGAATGGCTGCAGCAGAATCGAGCTGTTTCCTAGGTTAGCAGTCATGTTTCATTTGGGCTGTTGTGCTTTTTTTCTGTTTAAATCAAACTTCAGGTTACGTCATGACTTCTGCAGGGCTGTCCTTGGTTCCTACTGCAGGGCGGCTGTGTGGTTGGGATTCCTTTTCTGTTTCAAGATGGAGCTGGGTAGCACCTTTGGAGCTTGGAGAGGCTTTAGCAGTTGCTGTCCTGTATACCTCCATTTACAAGAAATCCTGTTCCCATTTCGGTTTTCACACTTTGAGTAAGAGTTAAAATCTGCTTTATTACAGTGTTTGGAAAATGATAAAGATATATTGTAATGTGAGCCTGAACTGTTGATGATAAATGTATAACTACTGCTAGGTCAAGAAATTGAAAAATAATGTTTTGATTGGTCTGTAGCTGTGTTGTGTTAAATATAAACTGAGTTTACTGCCCTTGGATGTGATTCTCTGGTTTGGTTTGGTAATTTGAAAGGTATTGGTTGCCTAGACTGTTTTGTGCCCAAGGAAACACTTTCTAATTGTTATGCTGTTAATTCAGTAAGCAGCATAAACTGGACCATGCAGTAGGCATACAGCATACAGCCAGGATGTTTTGGCAATGCTGAGCCCACTGTTTTACAAGTGACATAAAATGTATGGATCATCGTATGTACAAAGAATCCACTCAGGGAAACCGGATTACAGGAGAGTTCCTTTACAGTCCTTTTGTCAGGGTACAGAACACCTGGGTTACACAGGGCTTCAGATGAGAGTTGATTCATGATCTGAGTCTATATGATGAGACACATTATGATGGAATTGTCACTTTTGTTGCCTCTTGAACTTTAAAATATATCTTTAGTGATGTGGAATTAATCTTTATTTTTCCTTCACCCTCAGCCTTCATTTAAGGTATCAGTTGGTAACCACCTGAGTAATCTAGAACCCAAGTTGCATTTACTTGGTCATATTGGTAACTAACATTGTTTCTCAAAAGTTTCTTGCAACAGAATAATGACTATAATTGAGATAAAACATTAACTTTAAGGCTTTAACTTTGTAAGAATATGGCTTAGTATAGTTACTAGGAGTGTATTCTTAGGACATCGACCGATCTATTTTTTCACCCCCAAGACAAATAGTGGCCTCCTATATCCCAGCCCAGGGAGCTCTTTGGGATGAGTTACTTGTTTTATCTTTGACTCAGCCTGACTAGTTACATTGTCGATCATTTCTTCCAGATGACATTTATCTGTCAAATAATGTTGATTAGTCTGCTGATGAATGTTTAAACAACGCTGGAGAACCCTAGGCTAAGGGGTTCTACACCTGTTGACTCCATCCCCCACTCCCAGTGTGGTGTGTCTCTGCCGTGCTATCTGTATTCTTCCCCTGTTCAGTTTCTCCCTGACTCTCCTTCTTTGTTCATTATGTCTGATTTATATTGTGGATTGCAAATAGAGAAAGATATGCTTTCTCTACGACACCAAAAAGTTTTATTTGAGATGGCTCTCCATTTCTCCCACGTCTCCCTTCACTTTTGCTGTGTTTTTATTTATTTTTATATTTTTGCTACCTTCACTAGAGAGTACATCCCCTCACTCTTGAGGTGGGCACTGATCAGTAGGAAAGAAGATCAATACCTGGCTGATGATAATTTGGGGGGCAGATTGATAGATAAAGGGGATGGCAGCAGATCTTTCCCCTTGTGATCCCTCCCCTCATTCCTAAATTACACCTCTAGAGTAGGTAACTGCTCACCATTAAGAAGAGTTAATGGAAGGCATTTGAACTACACTCATCCCGTGGTATCCTCGGAAGATTAGTTCCAGGATCCCCTTCCCCATACCAAAACCTGAGGATGTTCAAGTCTCTGATAGAACATGTTATCATATTTGTATATAACCTGTGCATATTCTCCTGTATAATTTATCTCTGGATTACTTACACTTAATACAATGTAAATAATAGGTAAATAGTTGTTATATATGTTTTATTTTAAAAATTTTGTATTATTTTAAAATTTTTCTGAATATTTTCAATCCATGGCTGGTAAATAGTTATATATGTTTTATTTTAAAAATTTTGTATTATTTTAAAATTTTTCTGAATGTTTTCAATCCATGGCTGGTGAAGTCCTCAGATGCAGATTCTGTGGTTACAGAGTGCCGATTTTACACAGGATCTTACCTGTAACTCCCTGTGCCTATCAACAGCTGACTCAGAATTGGAATGAAATAGAGTAAGGGAATCTCAGAGGAGAGAGTACTATCAAAATGGATTCGATTAAACTTCAGTTCGTTATATAGTTTCTCTAGTTTATGGTCCATTTTCTATTTAAGATGATATTTACTTTTTTTTTTTCTTAAAGGGAGTTCCAAATGTGTTCTGGAACATTTTGAAAATAGAGCTGATCCACTGTACAGATCCTAGTAATCAAAGTGCACATTCAGTGTAATTTTATTTTTTTAGTATCTTTTAAAAAATACTTCTGGCATATAAACATTATTTATAAAATAAGTCATGGTTGTAATTATTTTTCTCCTGCTTCCTTATGTATTTATTTCAGAAATGAGCCGTCAGACTGCTACAGCATTACCTACCGGTACCTCAAAGTGTCCACCATCCCAGAGGGTGCCTGCCCTGACTGGCACGACTGCATCCAACAATGACTTGGCGAGTCTTTTTGAGTGTCCAGTCTGCTTTGACTATGTGTTACCACCCATTCTTCAATGTCAGAGTGGCCATCTTGTTTGTAGCAACTGTCGCCCAAAGCTCACATGTTGTCCAACTTGCCGGGGCCCATTGGGATCCATTCGCAACTTGGCTATGGAGAAAGTGGCTAATTCAGTACTTTTCCCCTGTAAATATGCCTCTTCTGGATGTGAAATAACTCTGCCACACACCGAAAAAGCAGACCATGAAGAGCTCTGTGAGTTTAGGCCTTATTCCTGTCCATGCCCTGGTGCTTCCTGTAAATGGCAAGGCTCTCTGGATGCTGTAATGCCCCATCTGATGCATCAGCATAAGTCCATTACAACCCTACAGGGAGAGGATATCGTTTTCCTTGCTACAGACATTAATCTTCCTGGTGCTGTTGACTGGGTGATGATGCAGTCCTGTTTTGGCTTTCACTTCATGTTAGTCTTGGAGAAACAGGAAAAATACGATGGTCACCAGCAGTTCTTCGCAATCGTACAGCTGATAGGAACACGCAAGCAAGCTGAAAATTTTGCTTACCGACTTGAGCTAAATGGTCATAGGCGACGATTGACTTGGGAAGCAACTCCTCGATCTATTCATGAAGGAATTGCAACAGCCATTATGAATAGTGACTGTCTAGTCTTTGACACCAGCATTGCACAGCTTTTTGCAGAAAATGGCAATTTAGGCATCAATGTAACTATTTCCATGTGTTGAAATGGCAATCAAACATTTTGTGGCCAGTGTTTAAAACTTCTGTTTCACAGAAAATAAGACACCCATCTGCCTGCCAATCTAAAACTCTTTTGGTAGGTGAAAGCTAGACACATGAAGGTAAATAAAAAGAAAGGCTGTTAAATACAGGAAACAGTTGCATGTAGTAACACTAATATATTTAAAAATAAGTCAACAGTAAACCACTGAAAAAAATGTATGTATATACACCCAAGATGGGCATCTTTTGTATTAAGAAAGAAGAAAGCATTGTAAAATAATTCTGAGTTTTGTGTTTGTTGTAGATTGTATTGTTCAAAAATAATGGGTTTTTTGGTTGTTTCTGCGTGTGTGAGTGCGTGCGTGAGTGTGTGCGTGTTTGGGTTTTTTTCCTTTAACTGACAAGCCATCTTGAGTGGTCATGGGCCACTGCTTTTCCCCTTTGTGAGTCAATACATAGTGCTGCTGTGTGCTTTTGTGTGTGTGTATTTGCTAATTTTTATTAATTCTAGTTTTTCATTAAATAAATTTGACTTTCTTTTCTGTAATTCAGGTTTTTCCTCACTTTTTTTTGTACCATTTTAAAGTTAGTGTCTTTTGATATGCATAATTGTTCATGGTAAAATTTATAACATGCATTCAATACATACTTTCTTTTCCCCATTGATCAGTTCATTAGAAATATTTTAAAATCAGCTATTTTATGAAGCTATGAGTTCCAGAAAGTAAAGATGACATTGGGAAAATTATCAAAAGCTATTTAAAGCATCTATAAGATGGTTTCTCTTTCTCTCTTCTACAGATGAGTCACACCTTTGAGCTTAATCTTTGAAAGGTTAGAGAATCAGTTGATTCTTATAATGAAAATCGGGTTTTTGTTTCCTTTTTCAAATATCTTGGACAAATCATCTGTTTAAAATTTGTTCTTGTATTTATTGGTTTTGCCGAAGAAGGCATCGTCATGCACCGTATTTGTAATTAAAAGCAAATCATTTGTTTAAAAAGGCAGTTTGCAAAAAAAAAAAAAATGTTTTTGGTCTTTTATAATTCTCATTAAAAGAATATCTGGCAAATTAAAAAAATCTTACTGTGTCTGCTTTAACGCTAAGTTTGATAAAATCCAAACTTATTTTCCTGTTTCTCTAATTATATAGCAGAAAGCTGTGTGTTGTCATTTTAAGTGTGGTAGAGTTATATTCTAAATCACAGCAAATAACTGGGTATATGGCCTCTGGATTACAGTCTCTTCCCCTCGACACCCCCCCCATTTCGATTCTTACAACTTTGTCAGGAGAATGACTAAAATGGTGACCACTTTTCACCTCCTTAAGAAAGCACAACGAAAGAATAAATTTACTATTTCATAGCCTATTGGCCAAGAGCCTTGGTTCTGCAGCCAGACTTCCAGGCACCTGGGTGCCAGTCTCAGCTCTACCACATTTCAGCCCGTTTCCTAATGTGTAACGTGGGGTTAAATTATGGTAGATACCTCTAAAGTTTAAATGGGCTACAGGTGCATTACCTGAAACAGTGCTTTGTTCATATCAGCGTCCAGTGAATGTTAGCTACAGTTGCACCTTTAGAACCATGTAGTTAACTGTTGCTCGTTACTTTGACGCACATGGCAAGATCCCGAAATCGCTTTCTGAATCCTCAGAGATAATTTTGTGTGGTTCTCTGGGTACTCTAAGCCTAGAAAGTCAATGAAAATTAATTTGGACTTCACCCTTATACCACCACCGATTCTGGATAATTTTGGATAAGAGTTTATTTTTTCTAACCATTTTCAGAAAAGATGCTTGTGTAGTCTCTTCCCTACATAATTATCTTTTGAACTGGTTATGTGCTTGTGTAGCCATTTTTATGGTGAAAGAGTAATAGTTCAACCACAAATTTACATCCAGGTCTGTTCATTAGCATGTGTGCTTAGAAAAAGTGACATTTATTCCATATTTAATGTTATATAGTGAAAGGGTTACATAATACATAAAAGGGCTCCCAGTATCTTTCAAAATAAACGTGGCTGTGTGCTGTGGCTCATGCCTGTAATCCCAGCACTTTGGGAGGCCAAGGCAGGCAGATCACTTAACGTCAGGAGATCAAGACCAGCCTGGCCAACATGATGAAACCCTGTCTCTACTAAAAGTGCAAAAAAAATTAGCCGGGCATGATGGCACACCCTATTAGGGAGGCTGAGGCACAAGAATCCCTTAAACAACCCAGGAAATGGAGGTTGCAGCAAGTCAAGATTGTATACCACACCTGCAGCCTGTGTGATGGAGTGAGACTCTGTCTCCCCCACCTCCAAAAAAAAAAAAAAACCATATTGGGTATATTTGTGGAGGCATATTTTGTAGTTTTCATTTCTTTTTAGACAGAGTATCACTCTGTTGCAGAGGCTGGAGTACAGTGACGTGATCTCAGCTCACTCTAACCTCCACCTCCCAGGTTCTAGTGATTCTCCTGCCTCAGCCTCCCAAATAGCTGGGATTACAGGCACTTGCCACCATGCCCAGCTAATTTTTGTATTTTTAGTAGGTATGGGGTTTGACCATGTTGGTCCGCTGGTCTTGAACTCCTAACCTTGTGATCCTCCCACCTTGGCCTCTCACAGTGCTGAAATCACAGGTGTCAGCCACCGCAACTGGCCTAGTTTTAGTATTTTAAAGGTTTTTTTTTAAATTATAAAATGTGTCCATCATGTATACTTTGGAAATTATAAAACTGCACATGCAATCGAGATCTGTAATCTTAACTGTCCACTCAGAAGTGACATTTTATTTTTCCAGTTTTTAAAGTGTATGTACATGTTCTCATCCACGTTTGTTTTTTAGAGACGGGGTGTGTTGCTCTGTCATCCAGGCTAGAATATAATGGTGCAATTGGCTCATTGCAGCCTCAAACTCTGGGCTCAAGTGATCCCACTTCAGCCTTCTGAGTAGCTGGGAGTACACGTGTGTAGCATCATGCCTGGCTAGCTGAATTTTTTTGTAGAGATAGAGTCTTGCTATGTTGCCCAGGGAGATCTAAAAACTCTTTAGGCTCAAGTGATCCTCCTAAAGTGCTGAGATTACAGTTATGAGACACCGGTTCCAGCCACATGTTTATTTTGAAAGATATTGGGTGTCCTGCCATTCAGTGTCCTGCCCTCTCCCAGGGTGTCAGACACCATGGTGGAGCCCTGCAGTGCCACCCTTTTCATCAACTAGCTCATAGAAAATGCAGACGAGACGTTCTGAATCGATAATGAAGCGCTCTATAACATTTGTTCCAGAACCTTAAAACTGACCACACCCACCTACGGTGACCTGAATCACCTGGTGTCTGCTACCATGAGTGGGGGTCACCATGTGCTTGCACTTCCCGGGCCAGCTGAATGCCAACCTGCCGAAGCTGCCTGTGAACATGGTTCCATTTCCTGGGCTACACTTCTTTAAGCCTGGCTTTGCCACACTGACCAGCCAGCAGTACCGGGCCCTGACTGGCTGAGCTCACTCAGCAGCTCTTTGATGCTAAGAATATGATGGCCACCTGTGATCCCTGACATGGCCACTACCTACCCGTGGCTGCCATTTTCAGAGGTCACACGTCCATGAGGGAGGTGAATGAGCAAATGCTCAATATCCAGAACAGAGCTACTTTGCTGAGTGTCTCCCTCACAATGTGAAAAGAGCGGTCTGTGACATCCCACCCTGGGGGCTAAAAATGTCGGCCACCTTCGTCGGTAACAACACAGCCATCCAGGAGCTCTTCAAACGCGATGCCGAACAGTTTACAGCTATGTTCAGGCGCAAGGCCTTCCTGCACTGGTACACGAGCGAGGGCATGGATGAGAGGGAGTTCACCGAGGCTGAGTGCAACCTTAACAACCTGGTGTCAGAATATCAGTAATACCAAGACACCACAGGTGAGGAGGAGGGAGGAGGTAGCCTAGAAGCTTCCTTTTTCAGGTAAAGGGAGAAGTAGTGTGGATTCTTTAGTGTATTCTGATAGCCATTGTTACTTCTTTGTACCTCTTTGAGTCTTTACATCGCCTCCTGCTACATTTTAAAGCATTTTTATAGTGTGTAGTTTGGCCTAATAAAGTATTTTTATGACAAAAAAAATATATTTTTTTAATGTATTATGTAGCCCTTTCACCATACAACATGATCATTTGAGTGTTTCACCACTTGAATGATCTTGAAAAACACAACTTTTCAAATTTATGAGGATTCACTCTTAAATTTAGCTGGGTTCTTGTTGGATACCTGGAAGTTATTTTTTTATATGGAGTCTTGGTCTGTCGCCAGGCTGGAGTGCAATGGTGCCATCTCGGCTGACTACAACCTCTGTCTCCCGGGTTCAGTTCCACTGTCTCAGCCTCCCGAGTAACTGGGACTACAGGTGTGCACCACCACCCCCGGCTAATTTTAGTAGAGATGGGGTTTCATCATGTTGGCCAGGCTGGTCTTGAACTTCTGACCTCGTGATTCACCCGCCTCGGCCTCCCAAAGTGCAGGGATTACAGGTGTGAGCCACTGCACCTAGCCCTGGTTATTTTTAAACAACCCATGAACATACCTCTATGCTTTCTGTTTATTCTTAAGATTATTTTTGACATACTTTATTACTGCTTTCTGGAGAGGTTCCAGAGGACACCAGTAGCAGTGTGAAGTTTTCCATTTCATTTTCACCTCATGTTTTACTAATTTAAACAAATTAAGGTAGTACATTTTGTGTTTGACAGTTAACTTGACATCTTAGTATTAACTGTTTGCATTTAAGTATATTCTTGGCCTATAGAGATAAGGCCACTAATATAGCCATATTTCTTGGTCCACTACACATTTGATTACGAGGCATAATGCTTGTTACAATGAAGACTTACTCCATTTCTTGTGGTGTCTTCTTTCAGGTTGTACATGAGGTAGGTATGGGAGACACTCATAAACTTCGTTCTGTTGCTTTTATGCCCTTAAACTTGAAATTGTCCTATTGAATCGTGGGCCAGTTTGGTGTGTTACTTGTTGGGGAACAGTTTTTCCTTTGACAGTAATTTTTATTGTAATACGTATGATTTTTTTTCCAAGACCCACGTTTTTGCAGACTTCAAATACATAAGTGGCTGTAGATAGCTTGGCTCACCAAAATAATAGTGTATTGCCTCCAACCCCCAAAAGCTCTTCATATTCAGGAACATCTGCAGTGGTTCTACTGATGTTGGAATTGTTTCATTCACACTCCTGATTGAAGAATTCGTAAGTAATCCAATTAAGAAAACAGTAGGTCAAATTCAGCATACCTGGGCGGTGAGTCTGACTGCTGCATTAGAATGTATGTAAAAGTACTATTGGAGCTCGATAGGGTGAATAGTGTGTGTGAATACCACGCAGGACCGTGGTCATTTGTGTAGGTTAAACATGAAAGGTATGGATAGAGTGTTACAGAGTCCTGGAGTTTGAAGCTTTGTCCTTCCCCTCCCCACTCATCCAGTGTGCATGTTCAAAACACAGAGGATTATATGGCATTTTACCGCTTACGATCCTAAACTGGATTTACCAAAAGAAATTTACATTTATCTAAAAATAGCACTATCCAAACAAAATTCCTCATCAAGCATCTACTGAGATTTAGTGGCCAACTGTGGGCTGTGGATTCTAACTGCCTGGGTTGACTTCTGACCCTGTATCTACCAGTTTTTATTTAAATATGGTCTCTGCCTGGTCCTTCCGTAAAAGGGTATGGTGTCCACTGCGTGAGGGAATGGGGAAGGCTAAATATGCTATGAAGTGCTTATGCCTGGCACGATACCCCAGTGTCTTGCTGAAACAAACATTTTCCCTATCTTTATATAGCTCTAAGAAATTTCTTTGACAGATACATTTTATTATCATAGATGTAATTTTCTTAGGCCTTTCTCAATTCTGAAAAGCATAAAAAGTTTGCAGATATAAATAATGGAATGAAAGGACACCTGGTTTGGGGGTCGTATTTTGACAGTCATGTCATTTGGCACTGACACGTCAGGATGAGGATTTAGCCTAAACAGTTTGTATTGCCTAGAAATGTGCTGACAGTATTAGAGTTGAACTTATTATTT